ACTTAATTTTCATATAGACCCGTGCAATAAGTAAACGAAAAAAGCACGGGTTGTTACATAAGACCCGTACGATAATTATACGTACGTACTGTACGTACATACAGTAGTATAGTTGGTTGGTATTATTGCTTAATGCCAGGGTCTATTCCTATCCTAAATTTCGGTTGATCTGCCAAATTTTTGGTTGCTAATCAGTAAAAACAAATTTGAGCTCATTTGATTCGGCTTTCACCTGATCTTATACTCTGATTGGTCGTTATGTACGAACGTTACACGAGATTGACCGTCAGAAAATATAAAGTTCAACCATTTCGCAAAAAATAACAACTAAAATGTCTCAAATCAGTTTTTCAGTTGCTCATAAACGTTACGTAGCTTCTTTATATAGACGTGCTTTGAAAACTTCTCTCGATTGGTGTGTAGATCGTGAAGCTTGGCGTCGAAAAGCTATAGAGATTCGTGCAAGATTTGATGCAAATAAAAACGTTAATAGTATTAAACATTTGAGAGCATTATTAGAACACGCCGAAAACGAACTTGAGAGATATCGTCATCCTGACCCTTATAGATGTAAAGAATATTTATTTGATTTTAGTTTCTAAGGGGTTTTGAATTAAAAAAAAATAGGCATGGCCTCACCTTTAAAGATTAAAAAAAAATTGGCGTATTTTAGAAATAAATGAGAGTATTAAAAATATTAGGGGGTTTCAAAATTAAAATCAGAGAATCTTATTTCATTTTTCCGATTTATAATTCAACATAGTAAAAATGCTATTGTAACATCTATTTATTTTCGAAATGCGTCACTTTTATTTGTTAATTTTGAAACCTCCTATTATTAGTGTTTCAGATTTTTGAAATAGGAAAATGAAATGGGAGTATTGAGACTCTCATTTCGTGAAATAGTAAATTTTTTAATGATAAAGATCATTAATTCAATTTTACCAGAAAATAAAGTTGGTACATCGTTTGTTTGAAAATAAATGTGCCATATGTTTCTGTTAAAATTAGATTCCCGAATTTTAATCTGAAACCCTCACTATATATCAATAATTAAAATAAACATATATTTTATAATTTTGATAGATCCTACAGCTCCCGGAGGAACAAAATGGGAAAGACATATTCCACCTACACCACATGTCACCATTCAGGGTACTCATTGATTTATACCAGGTATGTTCTAAAATCTATTTTTTATACAGGACCTGGTACGCTAAATTTTTTAATTTTATGCTTTTACGTAATTTTCAGCAAAATGGCATCCCTTTGTTAAAGTACATACCAATCATCAATTTAGTCAAATTAACTAGCCAGTATATCTTTTTTTCTAATACCTACGTGTTATAAAATTTAATCAAATTAAAAAAAAACATTTGATATTTTATTAGGTATATACTATATTTTAGAGTTTATTATCATGATGATTATGTTAACCATCTCAAAACCGGTATGTATAGTTATACATGAGTGTCTAAAATATGGATAATTTATTGCGGTGAAATTAATTTTGCCTGGTGAAATTTCAAATTTATTTTTGTCGGCCGAGATTATTTTCATCTAGCAAAATTATTTTCGTCTAGAAAATTATAAAATTATTTGTCTGTCGAAATTATTTTGGCTAGTTGAAATTGCTATAGACAGTTGATATTTTATACTGATGGTAACATATCATATATCAAATATATCATCAATCCGTTTTTTCATAAGTTGAATTTAATATATAACAACTAATGATAAATGTATTCTAAAATATTTCTGCATTCAAAATAATTTCGTCATACAAAAATATTTCATCATTCAAAAATAATTTCGCCATCCAAAAATATTTTCACTAGACAGAACATTTTGAATTATTTTAAACATACTGAATTATTTATAGGATTAATATATTTGTAGCCATGGGGCTACCATAGCTGTAATTAAAATAACCCCTTTTCTTTGTTAATTAGAGTTAGGGTGAGGTAAAGATAATATGCGATTGAAGAGGTGTTTTATAGTAAAATTTAGCAAGGAATTTTTTTTGTTAGAACCCAAAGAGTAATTTCATATGCTCAATTTTGACGAAACAAACGTTGTTTTGAATTTTCCTGATTGTGTTACATTACACCTGATCTTTAAATTTGATTGGCTTTTATGGGATGCGGTTACAGTAGCCATGGTTACAAATATATTGCTCCTTATTTATATTTTAGGCAGTTAAAATATTTTCCAATTTATATTTTTCTAAAGACAAAAAATTTAGACACTCATATATATGCATAGTGACACATTTAGTGGTTTTGTAAGAAAAGCTATTTACTCAGATTGAAAACATTTATAGATTTAGAGTTATATGCTAAAGTGTTAATAAAACAAGGTCCTTTTGACAGTTCTAAATTAATATTTGTCTTACTTTAAAGATTTGTAACGGGTTGCATTTTGATTTTATATTGAGTTGGCAATGCATAAGTTTTGATCCAGAAAAACAGCTTACTACTTCTAGTAATTATAATAATTTTAAAGCAAAATCAAAAATAATTCTTAGCTAAAGTTTTGAGAGTTATTTGTAATAAGATATAGTAGATTAAAAAAGGTTATTATATAATTTTTATAAATGTAATATACTAAGTTTACTAAGTTTATCACAAAAAATAAATAGCTTATAAATTTTATACTATATAATGGTAAATTAATACCTTTGTTAACAGAATTATGTAAAGCATAGTTATGTTCAGTATTTTAATAAAATAAGTATTTTAATTAAATAAGTTTTTTTTCCTAATCAATTTTATTTAATATGAACATTTAATTAGTTAATTACTTGAATAACTAGTTGAATAATATTTTTTAGTATATATTTTTATCAGATTAGAATTGGTTTTTTACCATCTGCTCTAAATTTTTTATCTGATTTTTTTACCGAATTTTTTTACTAATTTTTTTTGCTAGAGACTTGTTTATGCATATACAGTATGTACATTTAAGTTATAAGAACCATTTTTGTGCTAATAATTGTCGCGGATGATCGTGAAATCGGATGATTGAAATTTAGGGGTCTCGATTTGAAACTATAAGCCCTACCAAAATCCACCTATACTCTTTTACTAATAACTCTAACC